TCGTGATTTCTATTTTTAATTTTTGTTATACTTTTAAAACATATTTTCAAAACATAATATTAAATATAAAAAATGTCTATATATCCAAAATCTATAAAAAAAATTGATAGAAATAACTATCATCTTTTTAATTCTCATAAAAATAGTTACCTTTCTTTTCATTGATAAATTATTTAAAAAAACAAAATAAAAGTTAATAAAATTAATAACATAAAATGGTAAATTTTAAAAAAGTTTCCATTAACTTGAAAGAATATGACAATAATTATAAATTTGTTATTTAAAAATTTTAAATTTTTTAAGAATATATCAAATGTTGAATTCAAATAATCAAGATATATTGATATTAATTCGGAATCAACGGATAGCTCTTCTTTTCTAAAAGTATGTATAGCGTTTAACTGTTAAGGCGTCTAGTTGGACTAATTTAACTATTGCTTATTGTAGTAGATGGCAGAAAGGTTTGGACCTCGATTTATTAAATCTCGTGGCTTATATAATATTATTTTAGCTTAAATCTTATTCGGACCTTTTTAAAAATCGACTCAAATCGGGCTTTTTAACAACACTAGTATAAAATAATCGATATTATTTGAAATCGATATTTAATTTGATACTATTTCTTAGGATACAAAAGCTCGCTTTTAGTGAGGCTGATTTCATTATAATAATTAATTCTGAAGCTAAAAATATAATTGATTTTTCAGGATTTTTCATTTCAATGTTTTCCTAGACATGATAAAAAGAAAAAAGATTTAAATAACATTGATTATCAAATATTTATAAAGAATATTTGCAATAAAATAATAATTAAAATCTATATCTCCTAAACGTGTGCTCGGCCCAATTTGAAAATTTGCGCTAATCCTATATCTGCACATCAAATTTTTTTTGAGAGATACTAAAAATGCCGATTTGATTTTATGATCATTTCCGGTTTCCTATTAGTTTTTGAAATTCCGATTTTTTAATAATATTTACCATTATAAAAGGCCTATCATTTGGTTATATATAGAAATTTAAATGCGCTTCTACCTCAATTATATTCAAAGATATCTAAAATTAAATGGAGTGCCTTTCATTTTGCCCAAAATATCACATTCATTTAAACCCTAAAATTTTTTTTGTTGAATTATTATGGAATTCACCATATAATAACTTTAAAAAATAGATGCAATAGCAAAATATTACTTAAAATCCATCAATTTTTTTAATTGAAATATATAATATTATCTGGAAGAAGGTTTAAAAAGAATTTCTCCTTAATGGTCAATATTGCTCACTAAATTTTGAACAGATATAGAGGATTTGTCGCAAAATAAAATAAAATTTTGAATTATTTCCTTTCTATTTATTCAGAGCCCCTATTTATCCATTATTAGTTTAGATTATAGGTTATATTATTCCGATTTTAAGTTATATGCTTTCTTCATTTACCACAAAGAAGTGTCACAAGATCTATAATATGATAAAATTTTATTTAATGTACAATAAAAATACATGCGAAAATGTTATAAAACACTAGTTTAAATCTATTTATACATCCGTTTTTATTTCATAATAATACTACCGAATAATTAGAGAAAAACCATATATTGGTAAATTTTTTTAAATATTTTTTGATTTTAGGTCCTCATATTCCCGATCAAAAGGAATAATATTTACTATTTTAAAAAAAATATATCAAACTATTTTATGCATATTTTTATTATTCCAAATACAACTTTATAATTTTAACTATATGAGGGTTGTGAACCAGAACTAGAATCCGAACCCTAGACCCAATATTTTACCGAACCAAACCCGAATCCTTTTTTTAAATTTAGAATAAAACACAATTTTTATTTATTTTCAATATAAAAACTTTTTTTAGCGAAAATTGCATGGAATTCTTTTTATTAGCTTAGAGTACTTTATTTTATGTAAGAATTTTACCAGCATCTTTTCTATAATAGATCATGTATATTATAATAATATATATTTTGAAATATTTGTCTTTATTTGTTGAATCATTAAGTTAAATACCAAAGAAAAGAACACACTCACAAGGTATAATAACTTTATTAAATGAAAGTTGCAATAAACTGTCAAAGTTAGGTATTAAAAATGGAAATTTTAATTTTAACATCTCGATTTTGGAAATAATTTGCATTGTTTTTATAAGGAGGGTTCAGAGCCATGAATAATATTTACAACTTTAATTTCCATTTATAATAAAATATTTTTTAAATGTAATTCTAAAATTTACATTCTAAAATTAATTTTAAATAATTTTAAAAATGTCCATTTATCATATACCAATGCTCTTTTTTTTAAAATTAATAAGATATATAATAACCTATATCTCATTCGCCAATAAAACTATCAGCAGCCGGGCGAGTTTCAAAAATCTAATCAGCTGTCTGCGACGAGCCGATTTTTAGCCCTATCAGCATAGGCGGCGTAAATCTATGCAACCATTGTAAATTTTTTTATAACATATATTTTTTTAATTGCTAATTAATATTTTTAAGAAAAATTAAATTAAAATATACACTACACTACGGATATCTCGGCATACTTTTAAATCTTTATTGAAGAGAAAACTCATTATAAATTTAAAATCGTATTGTAATTTTATAATTTTATTTAAATTTCCCGAATAATTGATAATCTCCTTAAATTGAACATCAACCCAACATTAGAAAAAACTTTTTCACGTGTGCTAGTTTTCGGAACACAAGGAATTCTCTTTAGCTAGCGTGGAAAGATTAGGAAGTTCAATCCTCTTTTCTCTCCAGAAATTTAGAACATTCATATCTTGTGAATGGCACTTTTCTCTCCAGAAATTTAGAACATTCATATCTTGTGAATGGCATTTTCAGAGAAGAATAGTTGTTATAAATTCACTTAAAGTGGAATCCCAATTCGTACTCGTTATTGAATGTATGGTTGATAATTTTGTCAAATAATTCGAATTTAATATAGCCTCATCTCAACTGCTATATATATACTACCCTAATATAATCGTGTTTTATAATAAATTAGACGCTAAGTAATTTTTTTCTATTAAATACTAAGATACAATTTTCAAATTCAAATTTTGAAATCTTGGGTATAGAAGGGAAGCCAACACCTAGATTATTTTTGAAATAAAAAATAAATTAAATAAATGAACAAACTTATATATTATTATTTGCAGATCAAAAACCGGAAATCGTAACGCAGGTTTTTTTAGCACATTTTCCTTTAGGGAAATATTTCTGAGCTATCATTATTATTTACTTTTAAATTTGTTTCAATTTAATTCTAAAAAGTGATGCCAAGTTTGAAGTAGGCCTTTTTGTGCATATAGAAATTAAACTATTTCTTTTTGGTCTACTATACTTATGCATTTTGATCTGCCTCGAGCTCAAATCTAATATCTGCACTTATATTTCTTAGAGCCAAGGGCGTCACTTACCTTTACAATCTCAGGGAGCTCAAAAATTTATTTTCAAAATAACCTTTTTATTTTAGCTAACATTACAAAATTACCTCTTTTTTAGATAACTAACCATTTTTTTTTAGTTGTATAAAAAAAATTTTTTAATTTTAAAGGGGCTCTTCAAAATTTTCAGGGCGTTACTGCTTAGCTCTCTTATTCTTTTAATAAGATTTTCAACAAACATCCACTGTAACCAGATTATGTAAACTATGACCTAAGAATAAGTGATATTTATATTCATCAAATTAAACGCCTTACCTAACATTGGGTCTCCATTTAAAAATATTTATGGTAAATTTTGAAATTTAAGATTTCTGATTTATTGAATTCTAAAATTATGTCAAAATAATTATAATAAAAATTCGTCAAATTCCTGATTGACATAAAAAAAAGTTTACAAAAGTGATGTTGACCAATTAGTCGAATAATAAGGCATAAAATATGGAAGCTATTTTTAAAAAAATTTGTCGGCCATATGCCACCGATATGAATATCGGAGGTGCGGTTATTTTCATAAACGGCGACGTTTTCGGCGTGTGACCAGCAGGCGCACAGGTCTACCTATTATGCTGGAACAAACTTAGTTAAGCTTAACATTCTTTCGCAGAATCCTTCTGAATCTATTTCAAATCTTGATAGAGAAATTTTAAATTTGGCAGATTTTAATTGGGAGGATGTTAAAGTATCCCATGATGCATTAGTAGCTGAATGCGAAAACCCATGATGCATTATTAGATGAATGCAAAAATATAAAAAGTTAAATATGGTTGATAATGTTCCGAAAATGCATTGGATGCTTGGCAAAATTTCAAACACATTTTTGAAAAAACATACCTGAGAAGTAGTGTTGTGACTTGATTTGTGCCGATTTTTAAAAACGGCTGACTTTATATTCTACCTAAAAAAATATTTCCCAAACCTTGATATGTTGCCAATGTTCAAACCTTGGTTTGCGTAATTTTTCTGGATAAAATATTGAGTTAACCATTTTTTCAGCTCGAATCAAGCCGTTTAACAACGCTACTATGTAGTACTACAGAAATTTGATTGAATGGTTGTTAGTCCTTCTTAATATAAATAGGGAATTGACCCAAGCAATGATAAAATCATTGAAAAATTAGCTCATTTCCAAAGAAGATTTAATTTTACATATTATAAATTAAAAAATTTTTCTTTTTTTAAACAACAATGATGGTTATAAACATATTGAATATAAAAAAATTGATATGAAATTTTTTTATTTTTTCTCACTTTTTCTTCTGTTAATTAACATATCTTCCTTATTACGCGTGCATAACTATTATCTATGTGTGTGCTATATAAGATATCCATTTATAACAAATGACAAGGCTTTGACCAAGTGAAGAATAATTTGTTTATGAAATTAAATTAAATTAAATATGATAAATTTATATCATTATATAATAATTTATAACTTTCTGGTTGTAAGTAAACCATGAATTTTTTACCCATTACGGGTAATTTTCTTCGAATAATACTGAATACACTATCAAATATTATAAATAATTTATGTATATTTACAAAAATAATTATGTGACAATCGGGTAATAAATAAAATATATATTAAAATATTTATCATTAATTTGATAGGATATTTGAGGTCGTTTTTAATAAACTCGAGGGTATTATTCCGCTTTATAAAAAAATTATATAAATGAATGAAAGATATTATAATATTTAATCTTAACTTTTAGAGATTATAAAACTTCAAATTGAGACCTTAAATATTTTAAATATAAATATTTTTTAGTGATCAACCAGTGCAATAATATAATTTATAAATAAAATGGGATATCATAAATGGTCGTAACAAAAGTGTTATAATTTAATTTACGATGTATGATTGTCATAAATTATCACAGATAATCAAAACTATTAGGATATCATAAAACATTAATTTTAGTCAATTTAATATAGTACATATAATTATATATATTATTTTGCATTTGAAAATTAAATTAAATATTTATTTAATATATTATGATTCAATCTTCTCTTTTTTGATAAAATAATAGATATGCATTGTTGGTATCGATGTTGGATTCACTTACTTCTTCGACCCTTAAAAATTATATATTATATTATAATATAAAAATGAATGATAAATGACTAATCATTATATATAAATATATCCCACAAAATATTTAAATTTATATTTAACATGCCCATTTCACACAAACTCCGTTAAGAGGTTAAAATGCACCCAAAAATTATCTGTATATAAATTCGAAAATAAAAAGGTTATCTATTTATTACTTGCTATCTTCGAATAAGTGCCATTTCCTATCAGTCGGATGTTTACAATAAGAAAAATAATGGCCGCATGAAATACTTCCAGTGTGACATGTAATTGCGTATAGATCGTAATTACTGGCTTCATTCAGACATACATCGTAGGATCTATTAGAGGTATTTGAGAAATCTTTTAAATCCAGTCCTTTGAAAGGAAATTCCACCGCTGTTCTAATTTTTATAAAGCTCTCTATCCCGTTTCTGCTTTGAGCAGCAAATCTTTTAAGATCTATATAATTATAATATAAAATATTTATAATTAAATAGTCAAGAATTAATTAAGAGAATAGATCATTTGTTAAATTACATAATAGCATAATTATCTATACACATGTAGAATAATTCCAGTATGTATGAAAATAAAATTTTGGGAAATTAATTTTATAATGTGCGCATTTCGAATATGATAACTATGCGAAAGTAAATACTCTTCAAATCATACATCATATTAGAATATTGAAATATTGATTTGATGATATTTTACTTTTTTAAATATATTATAATGGAAAATTCATCAATGATGCAAACAATTTAAAGCAGGCGCGTAGCCAGCGTCCCTTGTAGCAAAATATTTGAAAAATTATAACTGTTTCAAATAGGTTATATTCTATTTTAAATTTTAGCAAAAAGTTAAATTTATTTTTATATTTTTTCCTTGCATTTTTTCCCAGAAAATTTAAAGCATGTTTCCTTACATTTTTTCAAACCTTAAACACTGATAGATATAAGAAAACCTTATCTACCAAAAACCTAAAAAAGTAAAATTTAATATAAAATATTAATAACCCAAACCTAATAACAGTACTGGAAATTCTGATTATTCATCTTCACAGTCTGATGCAGAATAATTGCAAATAAAACTATTGAACAAAATGAAGAATCTAAAAAGATAGATAAGGAAGAAATAAGATTTTTAGGGGGGTAGTAATCATTAGACATTATCTGAATAGAATTAATTTTAAAACTTCTTGTGCTACAAGTGGAAACCTGAAAATAGCATGCCCGACACATGGGCCCTCACATTAAGCTGTTACTGTGTTTTTGGATTTAGAAGAGCTTATTTTAATTGTCCTTAAAGAAATATCAGAAAACAGATATTTCACCTAAAGCATACATTATTAGATTCATTAGAACATCCGATTTTTTTTTCGCATTGAGATGTATTAATAAATTACTTAATTACACAACAATTTTATGCAATATTTTCAAAAAAAATGATATGGATTTGGCTGTGGTTACACGAATATTATTATATTTACAACTTAACTAAGAGATAATATTGACCAATAATCTCAAGAAATTAATAAGAGCGAAAGCGAGATTATAATGATTTTAAGATTTCCGAGCCTCGTCCATCTTGGCAAATAATCGTTTCAATATTAATTAGGACTAATTTAAGGATTATTATAGAATAACCGTTTTTATTCCGCTTTTGAATATATTTTTGACTCAAATCAATACCATTTGTGATTTATCCAATGGCTCTATCCAATTTAAAAATACTATTACCTAGAAATCCGTCTTAGGATATATTAAATCTTGATATTGCAATTAAATACTTTTCTCAATTTTATTCAGAAGATATAAATGTATCTGAAGGCATATCTGATGACCAATAATTTCAGAATTTAAATATTGGTATGAAAAATTACTATTAGTAAATAATCCTCCTAGAAACGCCATGGATGCTTACTTTAAAATATATCTTAATTTTTCTAAATCTATTAATGTATATTTTGGCAACATTACCCATTAGTACAAGTATAAATGAGAGGACCTATTATTCATTATGGAGAATAAAAACATATCTGAAGTATGACATCAGAAAATTGATAGAGATTCCTCAATTAAACAAATTATTGAAAAATTTAAGCAATCGGAAAAAATTAAATTATCATTTATATCAATATTTTGAATTTAAATCAATTTTTTACAATATTATATTCGTTCTAAAATATTTTGTCCCAATATTTTCTGGTTAGAAATTGTCATTTTGTATAAATAATTTGTTTGGATAAAATTTATATGATGATTCTAATAAGTTTTTAATGTTCCAAAAAAGAATCAGGAAAATTTGGGAGGAAATATAAAAAAACATTTTAAAAAATCCCCCCCCCCCTCCCCATAGAAAACTCCTGTCTATGCGCCTTACTTACATCTATCGAAATATCTTTAAAATAAAAATATATCATTTGATGAATTTTCATACTATATAGAAAATAAAATATATATAATTTTAATTAATATTTTTTTTGGAGGGGGGAAGGGGTGCAATTATTTATTTAATAGTAAGATAAAGGAAGAACAAACCAAAATTTTATATTATGTGAACGTCATCCATGAACTCCAATATATTAATTTGATATTGATTGAATTAATAAAACGTAATTCAATGAATGTTTGCCACTTTTCATGAAATTTTTATTATTTCACCGATTTAAAAATTGAATCGGTTGATATTGGCAATATCGGATCAACTTCTAAGTAGCAATATATAGGTATATTATCCCTAATTATTTGATGAAATATATTTTTTCAAAATCAAATATTAATCATAATATAATTTAACATTTGGATAAGAAATTTATCGTATTTCGTATTTTTAAATTTAAGAATCATAGTCAAATTTCGGAAAAATCGAAGCCAAAGCAAAATTAGTCTAAGCAATTTTGCAAAATTAAAATTCATTTCGTAACATGCAGCCGAAGAGGGTAAAAAAATTCTTAACTATACCATTCACCTACCTATGGGCCCGTGAAATGAATGGAGCGTCGTTACTGATTTGCCTGGTAAAATAAAGTTGCACTTGACAAGTAGTAACATTTTATGTTACCATAAGTAATCCAAACCATTATCTTGAAAAGTTTCAGTTCGGTGTCAAGGTTCAAAGATGAGACATTAAATAGGTGTTATGGTCTTTGAAAAATATAAAGGTTTGTTTGAAATTTATGTAATATTTATACAAATTTATCTTAAAATAAAAATCTAAGAAACAGGCAAAAATGTGATAAATAATAACAAAGTATAATAAAAATTTAAGATTTATCAGTAAAAATAAAACAGACTAAGAACATCCAGTGGGTTAGAGCTTTTGAAGGCTAATGTTAAAAGATATCAAGCTATAAATCAAGCGTTTGGAAATCAATTCAAAAAATTTAGACATTTCGAAAATTTGCACATAAAAAATTTATCATCTGCTTACTCGTTCAGAATAATTTCCATATTTTGTAATAGAAGAAATATATAATATATATGTTATGTTATTAAATGTTTAAAGATCTCAAACCGTAGAATAAATCTTATATATTCTTGGCCTAAGTAATATGTGATTTTAAATAAAAATCTAGTTAATTTTAAAAAATTAGCAATATAAAATTAATAAAAAGCTAACCAGGAAAGTGTTACTTATCAAATATATGGGTTTAATTTAAAATTCATATGTATATAGTAAAACGGTTTTAAACTGGTTCAGAAAAATTATAGTTTCGGTTCGCTTCTAGCGATATAATATTGGGTTACTTATGATACGGTTCAGGAAATTATAAAGTATTATTCAGGTATAACGGTTCGGTTTACTCACGATTCCTGATTACTTACCAATTATAAATTTACTTTCCAAATGTAAGAGTTACCAGAAGAAACCCCTAAATTTAAATTCATATTTACATAATAGGACACTTACGTATAATTAAAATTTGAGGGAACCGTTGTATCTTGAACGATTTGGTAGCGCTTTCCCTTTTACCGCATTTTGCACAAAACTATACATAATGTTAAAATTTTTATAAATAAATACTTAAAATATAAATCATTTATGGTTGCAATTTGTTTTAACCAATAATCGGATAAAAATCCCGCGGACAAAAATTAGCCGAGAATGAAAAATAAAAGCAAATAGTTAAGACTTTTTAAAATAAATTTTACACCCTATAAATAGATATTTAGAATGGTTTTTTATTGCTAGCTATAAAAATTTACTGTAATTCAGATGGAAATAAATAGCATAAATCAATATTATTATTATCATTACCACAAACAATTAATTTTTTAAAGCGTGGTTCTGTCGGGATGAAAAAAAGTTAAAACCCAGGGCATTAAGCCGAAAAAATTAAAACCGGAGTCATCAAATTATCTAAAAAGCCAAATTTTACCAAATATATTCTGATCACCAAGCCAAAATAAATACTTCTGCTATTGATTTGTTTCATAATTTTAATATAACTCCATCAAAATTTATCAAAAACAATCACGGTAATTGTCAAAACTTCCTCGTAGAGATCTGCAAAGTTAGGCCCGGCCCGTACCTGGCCCGATATTTAAAATAATATAATTCGGGCCGGGCCGTGCCTAATATTTAAAAAAAAACTCGGACCGGGCCGGGCCTACGGGTCGGATTTTGGAAATTTTTTTATCAAAATTTATCAATTTTATATTGAATTTTTTATGTAAAATATAAATATTTGATTTTATTTATTGAAACTAAACGACATATAACATATGTCTTTTATTTTGAGTAAATATAAAAATTAATTTCTATATTTAAATAAATTCAGGCCGGGCCAGGCTTGAAAAAATAGTCCCGATGCAGATCACTATTCAGAAGTAATTATTCTAAGGGAAACAGACCAATATCTTACTTTAAAATATCGACATAACATTTGGCATTTTTTCAGAGCATAAGCATAGTCAATCATGTGGAGCTCTCTCTTGAAAAATTTGCAAGTTTATTTAGATATCATTTAAAAAGTTTAAAATATTTACTCGTAAAATTTAAGAGAGGAAATACCACAAAAGTCCCGCCCTGAAAATACTGTTTAAAGGATGATGCGATGCTGAATATCGATAAATTTATCTAAAATCTAAACTGTAAAAACATATCTTATAGTTGTTCTGAATATAATACTTTAGAGTATTTTATTATCTGAAATTATTGTGTTCAAAATATTATAATATATTCTATTTAAACTGTCCTCACCCCATCGGAAAAAAAAATTTATCCTCCTGGAAATATTTTAGTTACTAAAAAGTTGCATTGAAATTTTTTTGAGAGCATTCTCATTAAGACTAATTAGTATTAAAAAAATTATAAGAATTTTTTCCCCCAAATTAATAATTCATAAAATTTTTGAATGGAGGATTTTTGTCCCGTTTTTCAATAATTTATGTCCGAGGAAATTATATGGAAAGTTGTCGGTCTGGAAATAGTGACTATAAATATATAATAATTAGTTCTGATATATATATGTTAGCGTCAATGTGTTTTTTTCAACTCTAAATTACTTTTTGAGCATGTTTTTTTAATTTAAAAATCTAATTTTACCGGAAATGTATTCTATCGTTTGGAATACCTAGGGGAACCAGGCCTAGCAATTCAGCGTTTATTTAAAAAGCAGACATGTTTAGAAATTCAAATATAATAGCATTGTATGATCTGTATATTTAAAGTGAAAAATGTTTTATACCCCTCAGCTATTTAAATTTTTTAAGATAAAAAGTGTTTTTTAGGTAAAAATCAAAATGTTTTACACCATAATATTAAATGGTATTAAAATATGATGAGTTTAAAAATAATATAATGACATTTTATGAAATTTAAAACCCTCTTTTCGCATTTCAGAAAGTTTCATAATCATATATCATGTTTAAATATACTTTTAAAAATGTATCAATTATATTGGTAACTAGGAACTAAACTCAGGGCTAGTCGGCTACTATAGTATGTATTTAAATCAATTTTAGGTGATAATACAATAAAATTTGAAAGAACATAAAAAAATTAATAAAAATTTTACAAATTTTTTATAATCCAAATAATGTCATATTTTGTTATTTTTATATGAATTATTTTTGTGTAAATATAGTATATTTATATCAATAAAACATTGTCCATGAAAAAAATGGAATAAAAATATTAATTATCCTATGAAAGACTTATTTGAATCAAGCCCCGGGTTCGCGGCTTGTTGAGCAAAAATTCACTTTTAATAGAATCAATCTTAAGAAAAGAATATAAAATATTTAAAAAATGTATCAGTGATTAGGTAGATGTTTGGGCTATCTCATGGTATTTTGTAAATTCAAATCCAACAATCGGATCTATATAGCACTTGACAAAAATTACGCCTACTAGCCCTGGTCTCCCCTACTCTCTGAATTTCAGACAATTTTGCCATGAACTTAATATAATTTATATTTGTTTTTCCGGATTTTTAATATAAATTATAAAGGCTAGTGGTAAGATTGTCTAAAATACATAAGATATGTATTTTAAACATGTTGGAATGGAATGCATTTCTTTCCGTTAAAATCAGATTTTTAAATTTAAAAAAAATGCCGTTAAAAAATGATTTAAGATGGAAAAATATTGCCGCTAACATATAAATCATTTATAATATAATATTATTTATAATATTATTTACAGGAGCATTATCCGCTGTCAATTTTTCTTCCTTAATTAAATTATTAAGACAATCAAAAATATTTGGTGTGGTAACATCATTAGCGATTGATAAAGATAGATTCCAGAAAGGATCATAGGCTAGACTTTTGTTAGCACACACATCGCAAATCAATATACCTTTTAATTGACCTCCGAAAATATCTTTTTTTTTGTAATTCAAATATAATTAAATAAATTTAAGTATATATATTTATATCAAATGATTTTAATTTTTAATTAATAGCATTTAAATTTGCGTTTACCAACTATTTTGCTCTTATTCGTTTCTTGGTACTTTTTCCATGAGACTTCTGCTGATAATTCGGTAGCGCTTTCAATACTCCTATTTTTGGTATAGATATGAAAAAAATAAATATCTTGATCATGATCAGCGAATCCACCATTTAAAGTTAATATTGTTAAACGGCTCAACTTTTAAAAACTGCCAACCCAATATTTTAGCCAAAAAATATTACGTAATCTGAAGATTTTTCTCATAGATGGCAGAAAGATTATATTTATTAAGGAAATCTAGAGGATTGCGTAATATTATTTTGGAGAATATCTTAATTTACTGACTAAATCAAGCCATTTACACTACTAAAAGTAAGCTGCAAAATATCTGTGGTCTTAATAACCAAATAGATAATTAATTATTTTAATCCATTAAAACCGTTTTACTTTGTATATATGGCACTATTCATTTTAAAACGATTTTTTAAACCTAATGAAAAATAAAAGTAAGGGAGACCGGGGTTATATTACCCTAAAATTTCTGAAAAACCCTATTTAAATAAGGTTGATACAATTTACATTATTACTAGGTTTTATGTTCATATTTTTTATCATAATCTTGAATTTTAATTTAATCTCAAAATTTGGTCAATTCAACATTGACAGAAATATGCAGACCGTAACGAATTCTGGTAGATAAAAATAACGATTCAAGTTCGGTTCGTAGAAAATAATAATATCGGTTCTGTTTGAACTTTAAAAATCGATTCAAACTTCTTCACATACAAGAGTATCAAAATTCTGTAAAGAAAAGAATATCTTTTTTAAAATATTATCTCCATTCTCTAAAAAAGAATATTGAGCCGTATACAATTAAAAAATTTCTAGATTCTCTTCTTTCAATTATATCTATAAGAATGAAGAATAAATTATATGACTAAGAACACTTCTATATTTTAAGCAGCTGGAACCGTCAAATAGCAGCTTACAAATAATTGCTAATTTATAAATCCAAATTGATTATTAATCATCTTTAAAAAAGTTAATATATCAAAAGGTGAAACCCGGTTAGCAGACGAGGTTAGGTTCAGATTCTGGTTACAAATTTTTTAAAGGATCAGGTTCGTTTGAGTTCAGTAAATAATAACGGCTCGGTTCAGGTTCAATGTTTAATAGAAATGTCAATCCAGAAAGTATAGTGTTTTTAATTTAATCACTCCCCAATATTATAAATAGTTGTGCATTTTGGTGTTCAACTACATATTCGGGTTAGGCCTTATATTAAAAAAACCCATTGGAACCGTTCCGGGGACAAATTTAGCAGGGCCGTGAAATCTAAATCCTACCCGGGCGGGGTTTGCTAATTTTATATTTAAGAAATTTTATAGAAGATAATTTTTGGGCCAGTAAACATTGACTGGCAATTTGGTACTGGCTAAATCATTATTTTAACCTATTATTATATGATATTGTTCACGATACAATATTTTATAATATAGTAAGCTAATATGAAAGCAAATATATTATGGCCCAAACACCCTTTTTAAATGATTAAATTTAAAAAGAATTTAAAAAAATTTTATATATAACTTGATTTAACAGTCATTTTAACTTATTATACATGAGATAAAATTTATAAATGATCTTGACATAATTAAAACCAAACTTAGAACCGCATTTCATTTAGCCCCCCCCCCCAATTAATATAAAAAGACATTCATATAATTTTAATAAAAATGACTAAACCTTCTCCACATTATCAATTTGTATGTATGGAGTGAATTGCAAAATCAAATTTATTTGCCTATATGATTTTAATCGGATCATTTTTATAAAAAAATAATATCAAGATCTTAAATCCTCACATGAATACAATTTCTGAGAATGTAATATATAAAAATTTCACCTAAATCAGTTATCGCTAGTATCTAATGAGTGGCCTAATTTAAAATGATTTGTTCACCTTGTAATTTAAAAAAAAATTAACTGAGCAAATATTAATTTATTTTAAAACTTAATTCTTTTGCAATAAAAAAAAAATCTTGAACTATTATTAAGAGTTCTTTGTAATTATATTTACTAACTAGTGTTAAAAACCACAAATGACTGGGAAATTCATATGGTGATTAATTATAAAGGCATAAATAACGGAAAAGAAAAGATAAAACAAAATCATTATAACTATGACGCTAATTTCAATAAAAAGTGAATTTCCAGGCAGATGAGTCCATTTATACTTGCTCTAAACTTAAGTGGAAATGAGGATCTTGTAAATTATGTTTCTTAAACATAGTAAACTAGTCTATTCATTTCCTTCATAAAAATCTAAACCTAAATTTGTTTAGAAAAGGAGGATCACCTATATATTATCATTATGTTTCATAACTCTAATAAAACTCATAAGAAAACTAGGTGTGAATGCCGTAGAAATTTAGTAAATTCAGGGTTATGTTTCTCTGATATGAATTTAGAGCAAACATTTAAAACTTGACTCATTTATTTTATAGTAGGTAGCAAAAATTGTCTAAAATTCGGTGGTAGGTAAACTCTATACGTGTTGGACAAAAAAATTTTAAAAATAACGCGAGCTATAAATAATTTAAGTTTTAAAATATGCTAAAAAAAGCACTATATTATGTGAAATATTTTGTAAAAAAATTAATTTACATTCTTTTCGAAGAAGCGGTTTTTTGTATGGCTTGATTTAGATCATCGTGAAATCCATTTAACAAATATACCAGAAATTCTTGGGAATCTTGTTGGCTGTAAGGACAAAAATAAGAAAATTATAGAAGTGTCTAAGAATTTATAAAAGTATTCAAAGGCGAAAATTGGTAAATAAATGTTAAAGGTCTATGTTTTTTTTTCTATACTTTACCCTAACCTAAAAGGTAAAAAATATATATTAACTCTACATAGCAACTCTGTTTTTGTTTTCCCCTCCTTTACACTAACTATAATTAGAGTAAAGCAAAAAACATAAAAAATTTATCTTGGGTACCATATAACATATAAAAATAATTCCCTTGCTCCTATCGAATTAACATTATCAAAAGGGTTGACTCTTAACCAAAGAAACTAGAAATTGACAAAAAAAACAGTACAAACTTATATCCAGAAAATCTGGGGGCATACAATTCCACTTTCTTCTTCAAATTAACGGGCCGAATACTAAATTTATTATCGATGTATTCAGATCCCCATATTTCTTTGAGTAGTTGGGCGAATTCTTTAAAAATAAATTTTCAAAAACGATGAATAAGTGAAATTCCTATAATATTTTAAAAAACCTTTTATGATTTCTCCGTGGTGAGGGCTTTTCGGGTTAATATCATTAATATAACTTTCATTTTGCATGTATTTTAATAATGGTTTCGTATTGCTGAGGACTTGAATGATGGAATTCATGAAGCACTAAAATAATTATATAAATGAACTAAGGTCTTACATTAAGAATTATATTTTACAGTATTTCCTAAATTAGCCAAACCACGAAGTCCGGTTTGAACTGTTTCGCTAGCTTGCTCGTTTTTAATTCGTTCCCTTCTTGACCGATAGGTTGACGGAGGAGTCGGGGTGATATTATCTATTTTTAAATTATTAATATCGATCTCCTCATTTTTGTATCCTCCTCCGAGTTTATCTTTTGTAATGTAACTATTCGTCTATTCATTGATAATATATATATATATTAAAACATATCGAATTATCCCAATCAATCATTAATCTTAATACCCGAACCAATAGGAATTTTTCCAGTAGTGGTTTTTTTTTTAAATACAAAGTTGGGGGAGGAGGAATTTTATCGCTAAAAATATATTAAACATCTTTTGCAAGTTTTTATGGTTTTAAACATTCAAAAAAGCATTTTAAAATAATTGTATACAATAAGGAAGACTGAGGCATGTTGGCCCGCTATTTGTTGACGCCTATAAATAAGTTTATTGAACCATTCTGGAAAAATTTAACATATAATCAAAATCTTCAAGGTAAGAAAGAAAGAAAGAAAGAAAAGAAAAGAAAAGAAAAGAAAAGAAAAGAAAAGAAAAGAAAAGAAAAGAAAAGAAAAGAAAAGAAAAGAAAAGAAAAGAAAAGAAAAGAAAAGAAAAGAAAAGAAAAGAAAAGAAAAGAAAAGAAAAGAAAAGAAAAGAAAAGAAAAGAAAAGAAAAGAAAAGAAAAGAAAAGAAAAGAAAAGAAAAGAAAAGAAAAGAAAAGAAAAGAAAAGAAAAGAAAAGAAAAGAAAAGAAAAGAAAAGAAAAGAAAAGAAAAGAAAAGAAAAGAAAAGAAAAAAAAAGTCTCTTCTCTTCTCTCTTCTCTTCTCTAACAAATTTAATTGGTCAAATCTAATTATCAGAGATCTGAGCCCAGAACCGGGCTCGAAAATAATATAATTTCAAAAATCCCAAAAATATAAAAAAATTAAAAATCAAGACTATGGCCGATTTTAAAGATTTAATTTAAATTACATTAGTTAATTAATCAGGTTATGTTAGAATCTTATAAAAAGCATTTCATATTCAATTACTGCTCATATTTTAGAATTCTCTTTGAAATAATTTCCAAAATACAACAGCCAAAATTATTTAAAATAAAAAAAAAACTAAAGATTCCCGAGACGTATCAAAAAATGTTCAAAAATAAAAATTCGGGTCGAGTAAAAAAATTCTAAAAAATCCTGGGACGGACATAATATTGAAATTCATTTTTAAATCCGGGATAGGGCCAAAATTTTGACTTCTGCAGGTCTCTGATAATTATACAAAAAATAATATTAATTTAAAATGATAAAAATTGAATTTTACAGTTATCAAAAGATCAATATTAAAGAGAGAAAAAAAAAACAATGAAGAAAGGAAAAAAATTATAATTTAGTTGTTGTAGGATGACTTTAGTGATGAGTAAAACATAGATTTGAATACCTATTATCTACCCTAATAAAATCAATGAAAAAATAGGCATATAAGCCTAAAATAGTTTAGTTGAGCGTAAAATATTAGAAAAATTATAAGGCGGTGGCGATATAATGTATAAAAAAATTAATTCATCAAACGTAAATGAAAGAGAATAATCAAAAATCAATATTCTATTATCAATAAATAAATTTTCTAATTTTCAAGTTTGTATATAGCTAAAAAAAAATCTTTAAACATCTGTTATTTTTATTTAGGATAATTTTTTTTCTTACAATTTTGTAAAAATTAGTTTTTTTTCTTTCTTTTTTTTAGATGGATGAAAATTAGAGGGGGGGGTTAATCTTATGAATGTTTTTACTTTAAGTAGTTCGTTTTTAGCTATAACCGGGTCAATTAGCTTTATGTCTACTACATTGTCATAATTTGAAGAATGTTTTGGTATGTATGTTATTTGCGTGCAATCGCTAATTGCAGGTATTAAGTTAATTGTCGAATCTTTATTATCGACATCAAATAATTTCTTTTTTGTTCTGCGTGGAATATCCAAAATACTATTTTCAAAATTTAACCTATTTGCTATCGGTGTTAAACCCGATTTTTCATCATAGCCATTGATCAATATGGATTCATCGTTTTTGTCTATCAAAGAGTTGCGATACTTTTCTGGCTTGTAATCTAATAATATATCATCTTTATGGGTAACCCTTGGGAGGTAAGGCTTAAAAGCATCGAGATCATCTTGCTTTTCTTTTGTAATAGAAGTTTTAGGATACGAATAATCTTGGTATTTTTTTTCACTGGAGCCGTCGAAATCATCATTTTTTTCTTTTGTAATAGAGATTTTTGGGTGGGAATAAACTATATCATAATTGGAATTGGATATTTTTTCAATGGAGCCATCTGAAAGGTTAAATTTATCGAATATCTTTTCAGTCCTATCGCTTCTATTTCTAGTAGTGTCAGTAGCAGAGAAATCTCTCTTTCCAAGAATCTTTTGATTTTTTTCATTGTTAAACTCATTTGTTTCGATAATATCTTTATTTTGTGTGTGATCAAAGGATCCTTTGGGATAAATTTTACGAATAGTGGCGATGAGCTCTTGATTAGATAATTTTTTAGTATCTTTCACAATTAAATTATCCTTTAAAGCCTCGTCATCTTCATTAAAATCTTCAGGAATGCAGGAGTTTATGTATGCACTACGCTTTCTGGCCTCAGGCCCATTCTTGTAAGTTCGTGTTTCGTAAGGAGAGACACCGCTTCTCTCTGTTCTCTCTATCCTCGCTGAATAATGGTTGTCCGTAGGGAAAAGAGATCTTGCTCTTTGTATGGGTAAAGAGCTGTAAGGTCTGTCACCTTTATCGCACTCTTTATAATATTTGTAATTGCTCGAGTCGTCAAATCGATTATTGTCATTTTGTAAGTTAGATAAGTTGAGTTGACTGCTATATTTAGGTGCCGTTTCTTTTGAAAACGAAGAATTCCATCGCTTACTGTTTTTATATAAATAAAAAAATAAATAAACAAAACATTAGTTTAGTATTACCACTTTAATGGATTATTTTTGGTAAGTGACCAGCGAATGAACCATTTATTATTTATTTGTTTTAGTGATAAAGAAGGCCTTATAACCCTGCATTCACAGTTAGTGCGAATTTAGCGGTGAAGTATACAAAAATGAATGCAAAATTACTATATTTATATCGTATATTGTCTTCTTTGCAGCGAATTCGCTGTGAATACAGGGTAACTACCCCTCTCAGTCAATGACTCTGAGCACACCCCCCCCCCCGATGATTATAATATAAAGAGATTAAATTATAACATAGATATACTGGCCCTGAGTTATTCCTATTGTTAGACTTTTTAAAAAAGTAATGCTAAGGGCTAATTTAAATGCTATAAAAATGCATCTATAAAGAAAATAACACAAGAAAGCTTGACATATTTTTTTTTATAATATAAACTTCATTATCAAATTTTGTATTATTCATTATACTTTGTGGGCCGATTGGAAAATTGGCGGTAGGGGCATTTTGCTTTAAACCTATCAGCGATTAGCGGCGCATTATTTTCCTCGCCACCTTTTGGTGGCGCAATAGCAGGCCAAAATTTTGTCCCAAAAAAATTATTTTCGATTTTTTAATGTTTTTACATGAACACAATTAAATTAACCATTTATCTGAAACAACTTTTGCCAGATAAAATTTATTCGAATATATATTAATATTTTTATTTTATAATAATCAAGTATAAAGATTATTTTGTTTAAATTTGAAGGATATAGTAAGGATTTTTTTTAATTTTAAGCAAGCCCAACGACTGAATAAAAAATTCATTGGGAGTGCTTAGTGTTAAACGGCTCGTTTTGATCCGATTTTTAAAAACAGTTAACTCAAGATTTTATCCAGAAAAAATATCACGTACGTCTGAAGATATAGAAGGCATAAAGGTTTGGGCATCTATTAGCGAAATCTCGAGGCTAACGCTACATTATTCTAGGTAAAATATTGAGTTATCCATTTTTAAAAATAGACTCAAATCGAGCCGTTTAACTAGGAGTGCTTGTAGCTAGTATATATTTTTTCTGGTTAGAACTGAAAGTTTAGGGAGTTCTAATTTTCTCATTTATCAAAAGTCTATATTATCTACAAGTTAAAATAGAGAAGAAATTATTCTTGTTGTAAATCTTTCAAAACATCGATTCTCACCTGAGTATTGAATGAATATTTGTCCGCTAATTTTTGTATATAATTTACTTCAGAATAAACATCTCTCGCATTCTACTATCCGTTACATATTTTTGTAATGCAATAATTCGATCGCATAAAATTAGGGAGGGAAACATTATTCTATAAGATAACAATTAATGATATATTTAACTTTTGACGGTCTAGCAATATGGATAATACCTTGCAAAAATATATATGCAAATAATGATACTAATACCTGTAGTGAAGATCGATTATTGCAAAACTATGAAATGATACAATTTATTACGCATATTTTGTTTGAGAGAGATATAATCATGTGACCTTTGACAGTTCCATTGACACTTTCTATCATCAGTAAACTGCTATGCCAAAGTATAGGCACATTTAAGATTTAATAATCTGAATACTTCTTCTAAATTAGAAGTTTTAGATCTTACCTCAATAATAATTTCCACAATTTCTTTGACAATATTTCAATTGTATCTAACTTTCGATCTACTGCGTAATCCATGTCCTAAACAGAGGTAATGTTCGATTCATCTAACAGGACAATTTTCTTGAAATTTGATCCTGTATCCATTAAAAAAAATTTAGACCTTAAATTGATTGATTGGGTTTTTTCATGAAGAGATAGTCTAAATTGTATAATTATACGAACTCTAAAATTAAAAATATTAACTTGTTGTTTATTGATAATAAATTCGTGTACGGAAATACTCCTTATATAAGATTTTTTTTAAATTAAAAGAATAAATTAATTAAATTTCGGAAAATTATGAATTTTTTATTTATAGTATATTATATTTTATTTTATTTTAATTTATAATTATAAATTTATGTCATAATCATAATTTTTAATAATTTATGATTATATATGTTTTCAACTATAATTTATCATTAATCGGCAGCTCGCCGATAATTTTTAAATCTATGTAATATCATTTCAAAATTGGGGCGGCATCCGCAACGCAGCGGTAGTCTAATTATACAGCTATAATGAAGGGTAGAATAGTGAAAAATAAATAATGTTAATTAATTTTTAATAAAAGAGATTATATATTTTTATAGGAACGTTTTATACTATCCGAATAATAGAAGAGATTTTTTTGTGGCCGAACTGAAAAAAAAGCAAATAATTCCTTATTTGGGTGACAAAAAACAATAATATAACATTTATAATCAAGCTCGTTTTCCAAAAATATTTTTATTTTAGTTTTTCTAATTAAATTTTTTACAGAAAATATTTAATACTAATAACATCAAATCAAAGGTTCCCAGGGGGGCAATTGCGTGAGTTAACTCAAGTGATCCACTTAGTCAACATTATTAAGTACTTATTTTAAATTTTAGTCCTTAGCATCATTGGTAGGAGGGGGAGGGGTCTGCTGTAGAGCTTTGAAAGTCGGTCCGAAGCCATTATAGTCGGGCTAGGATGGTCCTAAAAATCATAAAATTATCGGAAAATTATCATTTATATTTGACTATGGGAGTAGTCGATTAATTAATAAATTACATTAGAAGGAACAATTCTCATTTTAATACTTGATGCCATAAACTTTTACAAAAACAGTGTTTTATAAATTAAAAGGTTTTGCATGAGGCAGAAATTTATATTTAAAAATTTTATAATTAATCAGGTGGGAGGTGTGTGTAAGGCGCACAGGGACTTAAACAATTAATCAAAATTTTTCGGGGACTCTTAAAGAACTTTTTAAAGGACCCCCCCTTCCCCACCTCCTGCGCTCCCAAATAATGTCATTTGTGTGAACATCCTTTAATAAAATATAGAACCATGCATCGGGCCTATTTTTCGGGACCGACCAGTCCGAGAAAAAAATCTAAAAAAATTTATCCACCTGATCCAATCCTTTTTTTTTCAAAGATCCAAGCCCAATTCGATCGGAAATTAAATTTTAGAAATAGGCTCATGTATAGAACTGTTGAAAAATTCATGATATTTGAACAAAGGCAGTAAAATTCTAATCGTTGTATGAGAATAATAATTTTGGTTACTTTTATTGAAAATAATAGGCATAAAGATATTAGAAAAACAAAATAATTTAAAGTAGAGATACGAGTCCATTCCGGTAGAGTTTGAAAGAGGGACTCGGGTCAGTCGGTATAGGGCTCTAATAAGAGCTATCATTATCATTAAAATTAATGCTAATGTTTATCTAATATCCATTATTGCTTAGTTTATTAAGAAGCATAGCTTCAAGATTTTACTAAAGGGGGGTTAAAGAGAATATTTGAGAAACTTTCCCTCATATCATTTACTGGAAACCTTTGGTTCCCCTTATCGTAGGTCTTTGACTGGGTTATATTTTTTTAAAAAAATTATTTCAGTTTTACACTTTTTTTAAAAAAAAGGTCTCTTTAAATTCAATTATAAATTTTTTAAAAAAAAATGCCTAATTTCTAGTAAGCCGATCCGATGATTGATTAAACAATATGATAAGTATCACTATATGATATCACAGCTAAATTATTATCATGATTTTGTAGGCATCGCGATGTAGAGCAATGTCGCATTATTATCGCACTTACTATAAACGAGGTCTTATTATCTTTTAAAAGAAATTAAATTTTTGCTTCATTTTGAGCAAAAAAAATAATTTTAAAATTAATATAATTTATTTACTAAGGATCTTTTTCATATTTGTTGTATTGAGCAAAAAGGGAGTTGTTATTATCACTGGAATAAGGGGAACCTTTATCTTTAACCGTGCGATAGTAATAATAATTAGATGGAATCGAATATTTAGGCCTGATTCTGCTGGGAGATTTGGGAAAAGGAGGATGAGGAGATGATTCATAATCCCCCCGTGATGGATCTGTCGAAGCAAGGTAGGCATCTATTTTTGAGTTTATATTCCTCAGTGCAGAATGAGTGGTTGAGGGCATCCCATCAGTTTTACTATTATAAGAAGTGGGGAAATTGCCATATATAGAGTGGCGTTTATTTATCGGGTAAGCATTGTTTGGTTCTTTATTTTGAAAAATATGAGAGGTATTGTATTCATTAGGACCTGGGTAAGACTCTGACATGATTGAATATTGATTCGCTCTAGGATTAGCTTTTATATTCCAGGAAGGATATTCGTTATAACCGCTCAGATTATTGTTAGTATTATATTTCGAAAATGAACGTTTCGGGTGAGTGCTATCGTTGTTAATGTAATATCTATCATAATCATTGCTTACTCGTTCGTTATCTGTCCCAATTTTACGTGGAATATTCTGGTGGGATGAATGCCTAGGCGTTTTATTAACATAATATTCAGTTGGTTGGGAAGATATCAAATTAGAAATTATCGGCATTTCTAATGATCTTTGTTTTCGAATTTCAGGATTAATTTGGATTAAATATAAGAAATTTTGATCGAAAAATTACGATCACATAATTTGGTTAAACAGGGTTCCAAAATTTTATTACAATAAATTATTATTAAATAATTTTATTTTTTTTTGTTTCAAAAACTTTATGAATGACCTTGATATGTAAAAAAAATTAAAAAAAGAGAAAATAAATTGATCCAATCAGTTTGAATTTTTTTAGATTATATATAAAATTTTAAAATAAGATATAAGGATTTTTACTAATATGTTAAGATTTTTTTTGCAACAAAAATGAATTACACAATAAATAATATTTATATAACGCTTTTAAAAAGAGAAAAACAATTTAAAAAATAAATTATTATTTTTTATAATATATCGATATTTTTCACAACTTTTTAACTTTTATGAACATATGTGTCATATATTTACTAAAATTAAATTAACCATACCTAAAATAAATCAATTCATTTTTAAAATATTTCAAAATGTAACAATTTGAATTCCAAAAAATTAACAAAAAATGTATTGAATTTTCGAGACGTTATTATATTTTTTTCTAAATATGTAAACTATTTGTTCGTAAAGATTATTTTATTCGGTTAACTGTATTCCCTAGACATGTGGCTCTCAATCAGTTAAAAATCTACGAATCAACAAAACCCTTAGATAGGGAAACAGGGATTTCTACACCCGCCTTAGCCAACAATATTACCACCACCTGTCTCCTAGAACCCCCGCTGAAATTTTACCCCCCTTAACCCCTTTGCATTATTACCCCATACTATCCCTAAATTCATCCATCAAACTACCATCCCCTCTCCCTCCAATTTTAATGGCGATATTATATAATACTCCTCTCCCAAAGTGGAAGCCTCCTTAAATTAAAAATTAAGCACGCGTTTCCCAATTTATTTATTAATTTCAGGATTGATATATATTATTTTTATTTATTTTCGGAAATATGTATATGTGCTTGAAGTTTAAATATATTTTCCCCTCATTTATAGAATACAATATAGTAGGTCTAAAATAGGAGTGTTCCACTCGACATAAGATATTTGAGTTAGGATTAAATTTAAAGTTATAATTATAATTACCAATAAATATAAAGATCTTTCGGTGTCGTTAATATTGTTGCACTATTTCCATAATTTTGACTATATATGCGCTACCTATCATATTTTATAGTGCCTTTTTAAATTATGATAAAGAATACATGAAAAAAATAATCAATTATTGGCAAAATTCTTTTTATATATATAATATTTTATTGAATACATGAATTATATATAGATATAACATGATGATTTATACATGTTACTAGAGATCTGTAATGGTCGCCATTTAAAAAAAGTAATCCGCTATCCCGCCCACCCATGTTTTTTATTCACCCGCCACCCACCTATTTATCTAACAATGTTTAAAAATTATTTCAATGGTGGGAAGCGTTGTTAAAAATCGATTTTTAAAATGACTCGATTAAGATTTTAGCCACAGTAATATTATGTAGGCTTGAAGATTTTCCTCATAGGTGGCAAAAAGATTTGAACCCCTGTTTGCCAAATCCCGAGGCTTACCTAATATTATTTTGGCTAAAATCTTAATCGGGCCGTTTTTAAAATAGACCCAAACGGAGCCGTTTAACATTACTAATGGTTAGTTTGGCTATTTATTTATTTTATTTTAATATATTTTTAATTTAACTAATAAATAGTATTGTTAAATGGCTCGTTTTGAGCCGATTTTTTAAAACGGCTAACTCAATATTTTAGCCAGATAAATATTGCCTAAGTCTTGAGATTTCGATAATGTATGCCTAGACCTTTGTTCCTTCTATGAGCAAAATCTTGAGGCTTGCGTAATATTTTTCTGGACGAAATATTGAGTTAGCCGTTTTTAAAAATCGGCTCAAAACGAGCCATTTAACAACACTACTAATAAAGTATTCAATTAAATTTATAAATCGATAAATAGAACTCTGTTTCGTTTATTTCACACGAATAATATTTAAAATTCACTCGCCCATCCCCAGCTCATTATTTAAAAATATTTTTTAAACCGCCCGCTCACTATTCAATATTTAAATTTTAGAAAGCCCGCCCATTGTAGATATCTAGTAGTCACCTCTACTTATTTTGCATGAAATGGAGTATTTTGGACAAAATAAATTCATAAAGTGTTTATTGCTCATATATTTCATTAGGAAGTAGTACTATATTATAATTTTTCGCTCATATACTGTCTATCCGACGCTCAATTTAATTCATTCTCCACATTCAAATTTTCATAAACCAATTAATTCATTTTCATAATTTGTATCCTAAACTATTCTAATATTTATATACAAAATTCCAAATGAAATATGAACATCTCACGGTTCTTAATCGGTATCACTGGGAAACTTAATTATTTGCTCTATGCCTTAATTCTTTACTATATTCCTCTATCCATCTTCTTATTTTTCCCTTCCTTATCATGTCTTGTTCTAATACCTCTTAAACTTCTATTTCTTCTTCATATTTTAGCAACTTTGAAACTTATAAAACCAGAAACAATTTCCAAAAAATTTATATTAAATTTATAAATCTTATCTAATGAGAGGACGCTGATCATACTTACATAAATAGAGAATGAATCAGGCTTGACAGTGTCAGTTAAATCTTAGAGGTAGATGGAGCATTTAGACTTTCTTTATATTTTTCCCCTGAAGTAATGGAGGGGTACTTTTTTTTAAATGTTTTTAATTTCTTCAAAATTTATAAAGAATAATTTTAATTTTTAAAATTCTTTCGAACGTATAAACGAAATATTTTAAATTTTTGTTATTTAATTTCGGCTATACCGTATGCCTAGAAATATAAATCAACATAAAATGATACATTGTATTAAAGGATACATCGTGTCAAGGGGTACATCATTTAAAAAAAATAATTAATTTTACAGTATTATATTATATTTTTGAAAATTTTGGGTAGAACGAAATTGATTCTACTAGAAATTGAATTTCTTACAGAAATTTTTCTATTAATTCCAGAAATATTTTCTAGATTTTAATGAATATGAACACAACAATGGCAAAATTAATTTAATAAAATTCGCTATAACATAATTTATTTAATTTAAAAATTCGAATTTAGTTTTTCAAGTTCGCGATAAAAAAATCTATAAAAAATTTAAAATTTTTTTTGCAAATTAGTAGAAAAATATTTTTTCTTTTGATTTTTCCTTCTCTTAGACTTTTTAAACTCCTTTGCAAATATTAAATATAAACAAACTAAGCTTTCATCCCTAAAAAATTATCTCTTCGACTTCCTTTTAACCTTCTTTTAGATACTCTCTTCCCATACCCAATTATATATTTTTTTTAAACTATTCCCTATCCAAAAAATATAATTCAGCTTTGAATTTTATTCTTGTTACTTTTCGAAAATTTATATTTTGCAGAATAGTTATTACATACAAAAGAATAATTAATCAATAATAACAATAATTGAATAAAACTATTTATATTCTTCGCGCGACATAGCTTTAACCAAATATAAATCTTTGATCTATCGCGATTCGTATTGAGGTTCGCAAATTTGAAATTAATCAAATCTGTGGCGAAGGTGAATAATCGACGAAACGTTGAAGGAAGACATCACAATCATTTTGCAAGACGACATATTCTCAAAGTTTGAGAGCTGTAGTCAGTTAGTTATCTGGATGAATTCTTATATAAGATTTTGAACTTTCTCAATATGAATTTAAAAATGTGAAGGGAAATAAAATGCTGCTATATTTTGATGGCAGTGAAATGGGCTAGTGAATATTTTTGAAATAAAAAATTAACAAGATATTCATTAAATCTTATTTTAATTCCTTGCTAAATTTTCAAACAAGAAAATTTGGATATTCAAATTAATCATTTGAAAAAAGGTAGAAAATTATGTTGACAGAAATATTTTTAGAATATGTCCCATCAGGAGATGACAGAGAGGGGAGGATATTTTTATGAATAAAAATAACAGATTTACTTATAAAAATATTTTACAATTATTTAAAATTCTGGGTAAAATTGATCTAAGAACCTATTTTTCTTTAAAAATCTATTTTTAAAAATCTTTAAATATCAATATTTTTTTTTTGGAGAACGTTCAAATTCTGATATAAATTTATACAATATTTGACATGACAGATAATAATGGCAGTTATTTTATACTGTACCCTTAACTTATATGGCGGGAAATATAATATTTGTGGAAGAAATTGTACCATGTTATTCAAATTTTTTTAATAATAAATATTTGATAGTAGTTGGAAAGTTTGTATATCATAAAACTAATTTTTTTTAAAACAATATAAAGAGTTTTGGAATATAAAGTCGAAGAAAATAAAATACTACTTGGTAGTTGTCTAAGGGATAAATCACACATTTTAATCATTGATACCTCTTTAATAGATACATGTAATATTCATGAAAATTCCTTGTACCAATTTTTCGGAGAATTACAAGAGAAAACAAAAAATATTAATACATATTTAGCTAAAGCTTATAGGTGCATAGATGGAATGGATATGACCCTTTATAAAAAAGCAATTGATATCCAAAGAGTTCATATATATAAGAATTGTAGGAATAAAGAAACTACTCAGGTCTATCCTATGTTTAAATAAAATGTAAATCTTAAAAAACGTACTTACTCAAGTTTTAAATGGGATCCATATATTTCATCATTTCCTTTCTTTTCCTACATTTGTTTATCATCTAAATGAGATTACAAATGATCTATTTAAAAACTTTGTTCCCAATTATAGCATAATGTATTTCATTTTTTATATAAATTCATGATTTTATTTAATGAGAATTTATAAAATATTTTTTTATAAAGAATAGAATTTTGAATGCATATGCTTCTACAATTTTTAAATGTTAATAGTAAAGCTTTTTGCATTATATTTAGTTCATAACTAGATGCTCTACATAGAGTATATTTTTTCATCTCTGGATTCAATTTTTTTTTAACTACATAATTTAATTTTAGTAGCCTTAATTTAAAAAATAATAATTGTGAATGCTTAACAATTTTAAAAAAAAATTTTAAGCAAAAATCTTAGAAGATTTTTTTAAAAAAATTTGATTTAAATGAAAAACTTTTGGTATAAAAATTATAAAAGATTTTTTTGTAAAAAATTTGGCATTTTAGTTATAATTTGATTAAAAATTTCTTTTCTGAAGATTCTTTAATTTTCAAACTATGAATTGCTTATTAAAATTATTTTCAAAAATTTAAATTTAGGAATCATTTATACTCATTATTTAAATTTATTATTGTTAAGTTTTTTTTATCATTAGATTTGAATTTTTTGTGAATAATATTATTGGTATTAGTAAATTTTGAATCTAATATCAAATCATTTTTGATAGGATTAATGTGGGAATAAGGAGTCACATACCATCTTACTATTCTGACTAAGAAAAACAAGGATATTATTTCAACTGATTTTTGCTAAGGGCAAATTGGCTTGATTGTTCAATCTTGGCACTCATGTCCTTAGTCAAAGATAATTGTGTTCCTTTATCAATTCCATTTTTAACCCATTAATATGCATAGTTAGTTTGGCTCAATTTTGTCACCTTTTAATATATTATTTCTTAAACTTACCTTGTTCAGCTTTTGGTAATTCTTATTATTTTTTTTTGAATTTGCAAAATTACCCTGTTTCATGTGGCTATTGCAGGCAACCTTAATTGATAAAGATATAACATCTTTGGCATGTCTTCCAATATATTTCATCATTTAAATTATTGCAATATTCATACTATTTCTCATTAGTATCATTTTTACTACAAATTTTAATAAGATTATTATTTTTATATCATAAATTTTTCATTATTGAATTATTTTTCAGATTTATAAGTCTGAATATCTCTCCTCCAATCTACTTAATTTTATGCACCATTAACTGTTAGCATAAACCTTCAGTATCATCTTATATTGGCACATTTATTAGCTTTAATTTTATCAGTTTATATAATGATAGTTTCCATGATTATTTTTAAACTGATAAACTCAACACTAGATGCGAGTAATGTCAAATTAGGTTTGAGTAATTGTAAACATGTCTTTAATCTTATACCTTAAGATCTCATAAAATCCAGAAAATGTTTCGATGCTTTTACTTCTGAATAATATAAGCAAAATTTTTTTTAATACTGAACTGATTGAACTTAGTTGCTTGCCTTTGTCGAAAGTTTATTAAGTTTCAAAATATCTGATTTTGAATTCGATCTATCAGATTCATCTCTTTTAGCATAGAAATGCTGGTAAATCTGTCATTTAAATTTTAACTCGAAATAATTATTGTATATTCAGGGATGATCTAAATTTCCCTTCGTGTTAGATAACAAACATTGGTGGAGACTTCACTGGGGCTGTTTGGCTCTTGCCCACTTGAAAAAAATAGATTAGAAAATGAATTAATATCATAAAACTGAAAAAAAATATCTATCTTTCAAATTACAATTCCTGACTTCTCTATTGCAAAAAAAAAAATAAGAATAAAATAACTTGATTATATTTCAAAATTTTTATTTTCAAAAACTTTTATAACAAAACATTGTGTAAAAAATTGATTATTTATTTTCTGCTATAATTTCCACAAGGAATCTAAAGGCATTTTAACTCTCTACATATGGTGATGGTAAATGAATGATACCATCGTTCACAAAGATTTTTAGAATTGGAAAAGGCACTTGAATTGAAAATTTGTTTATACATTGCCTATCTCTATAGTGGTGATTTTCGGAATCATTTAAAAAGTTAAGCAAAAAATGTTAATTATTTTATTGATTAAAATAGTATCCTCTAAACGGAAATGGGACTACGAGTTACAAAAAAACAAGATAATTATTTTAAAATGATAATTTGTATTTATTGTTTTAGAAAAAATTTGTCTATGTTCTGAATTCTTATGTAATTGCTCTGATTTTGCCGACTGTAATAAAAAAACTTAAAGGTCCACTTGATAGATATCTAAGGGAAGTGATAACGATTGGTATAAAACCATAATTAATTAATTATGATTATTTACTCAGCGACAATATCAAACGGATTTGATTTAACATTTTTTGGAGGAGACGCAAAGTTCCAAATTAAGGATTTACCTAAAGACCTAAAATTAAGCCACCTGTTCTCAGGCTCATCAGATGATGAATTAGAAGGTTACAGAATGTTTGGCATTCTGGATTTCGGAGGACCATCTAATTTAGAATTAAAAGAATGACTGAATTGTAATAATTAAAAGGGAATCTATCACTATATAATTAATAAAATTCTCACTAAAAAATCTTTAAATTACAACTTTAAAATCATATGCATTCTAGATAGATTATATAAAAGCAGTTTTTCATATTTTTTAATTATGTGGAAGAAAAGGATTTTATTAAATATCGGTAACAAATTGCGAATATTTATATCGTAATTGGATATATTATTTAGGCATTAGAAAAATACAGCGGTAAACTTCTGATGGAGTTATTAATGTTAGTGGGAATAACTAGCTTATAAGCGCGTCTTTTTAAGTAAGAATCTTGATAACTCTATTTCGTGACATAAAATCAGAGACCTGCAGAGGTACCATTTGCACGATCTGGCCTGGATTTTTTTTAAAAGCTTTCGACCCAACCCGTGTTTTATATTTTAAGGCCCGGTCCAGATTTTTTTGAAATATATTACATTTATTTATAACTTTATAGCAAAACGGAGATGTAAAATATTCGGTTTTAAAATATACGGCTGGCCCGGGTCGGGTATTTTTCAAAAAAAGTTTAAGGCCCGGCCCGGTTATATTTCAAAAAATTAAAATACGACCTGGCTCGTGTTCCCGGGCCCGCAGTCTCTGATGTACATTAAATTTGGTTCTGGTGATACAATATTTCGTTTATACTATTGAAAGAATTCTCAATGTCATAGTATTAATGAATGATTTATTTTTGGCTATATGTATTTAATGTAGCCGTAAGCTACTAGCTTAATATTTTTGCAAACGACTTTAATATGCAGCATAGAACATGTATCGAAATGAATTTACTAAAGTATGGGCAATCCTTCATTCAGTGAATTAAAACAAATATTTTCATGCAAAAAAAATTGGTCTGATATTTATTCTACATGGACTCCATCTCGAAACTGTTACGCTTAGGTAGAAGTTTATCTAGAACACTCCTGTTATTTTTAAAGAATGACGATCAACGTTTAACAAAGGCCTAAATATTAACCAGAGAATAAATTATCTACCTGACACACGAACTAAAATTTTATCTTCCTTTCCTTTTTTTTATCTAATCATAATTTCTGAAGGCACAAATCATTTTACATTAATCAACCCTTATAATAAATTAAAATAACTATTTAGGGAAGACTTTTATAAAGCATGTTATAATATAATACTGAATTATTAATTAAAATGCAACTGAATGTGAATTAGAATTATATTCTAATTATATATATCATTTATATCTATTAATTTTTGGTCTATAAAGTCTGCCATCATGTTACAAGATATGCTTTTGGATAATTTTCCTAAAACTTCCTCATTTGTAAGCGAAGAGGGTATTCTAGGTTTATTGAAAGTTCCGTTAGTATCCAAATTTTCGAATGAATTAGTTCCTGAGACTGACTTATCTTGAGAGTAAGTATGCGATTTAACAAATGAGTTTTCTGTGAAACCGAATAAGGCCAATCTAAATATGCCGTATTTTGTTATTAATCTACTTTAATGTAATTTAACCTAGTCTTTAAATCTGTATCCTTGCTTAGTTTACTCCTTGTTGCATTATAATTACATGAAGTAGTACCTGAAGCCACTAAATCGTCTAGGCTTCTAATATTAACGTTTCCTCTGAGGCCTCCAAATATAATTTCATTTTTTAAATCTTTATTTGATAAATAAGATTCTGGAATTTTAGCCACAACATCATCTGTTTTATTATTAACTATTTTATACTTTAAGGCCTTCATACGATTTGGCAAACATTCGTTCATCTCTTTTTTTCTGTCTGATATATCTATTCTTTTAAATATTATTTTTTGTAATAAAATGTACTGTAAATTAATATTTATTTTGATAATTTACAATAGATTTTCCAATCCTAATATAACGCCATCTATTCTTTCTTTTTCAATAGTATTGCAAAAACCATAATTTTTTAGTGCGGCCGATAATATATCATTTCGTCTGATTAGTGTAGCCATATCTTCATCTCTTGTTTCTAATAGTTTTTCTAGTTTTTTCTATTTCATAGGAAAATTAACTATAACCTTTTTAGTTATATTAGTGTATTAAACACATAATAGCATTCTGTGTGTATTTCTCAAAATGAAAGCGACATTTTGCAACACGAAATTTTTTGTTTAAAATAATCACTTTAACAAAATATTTCGGCATAAATTAAATTACAAGAGCTTTATTGTCTTATTTCTTCTCCAAATTAATTAGTTTTATTAAATGCTCGAATAATTATTCGATATTTTAGCTCTTCCTATCAAAATTTACAATTTTAATTAATACTCAGATTCTAGGTTCTTTGGCTGTTTTTATGAATAAACATTATAATGTTGTTATGCATTAATTTTAAATATTTAGCAATATCACTGACAATATATATCTATTTTATTGTAAAATAGGATATGAACGTGAAAATAAAATATCCTCCACCTAATATATTTTGAACTCTTCCTGCTTGTATCTTTAATTGTGATATTCCGTCAGACAAAAAATAAAAGAAATATAGACTTTTTAGGGTCATCGGTTGACCATGCAGGACTCTAAGGAGGATTGTCAATAGGAGAAAGTCTAGTCTGTACTATAAATTGAATTATGGGCTTATTATAGTTTAAGTATTAAATATATGTTGTAAAATCAGAAAGGGGAGAACGATGGGGGTTATATTATCCATATAAAATTGAAGGGCCATAAAATATAGTTGAAGAAATTCCCAAAATATTTAACGTGATTTTAATCTTTACACCTCTACAGTGAAAATAGATTTTAATATTTTAAAAATTTAGTTAATATAAAATTTTAAAAATTATATAAAAAAAATCTGGGGTACCTATATTAGCCTTTTGTGGTGGGCGTTTATAGAACCTCTTTATTAGATTTTATTAATTTTTATATAAAAAATGTTAATATTAAAAAAAAATACATTGTTAAAATTAAAAAATGGTTAACACTCCTCCCGGAAAAACTTTCCCCAAGTCTTCACATTTAATCAAAAGTTGATTGTAGGATATTAAATTCGCATAAAAATTGTTTATATTTTTTGAGATTATTTTGTCATTTAGTTTGAATATTTTTATATAATTTATTAATAAAAATACAAAAAATTTAAAGGTTACTTTTGAAGTGTTATTAAATGTATTTTGGAATTTAATTTTAATGATAATATTTTGTAAAACATTTTATAACAATTTAAGTATTTATTAAAATAGTTTAGGGTTTAAATTACAAATCCCAAGGTATTAAATAAATTTATATGATAAGGAAATACCTTTCCCGGGATAACATACTCGGTCTCTCATACCGATGTCATCACATAAATTATTAATAGATATTTTTAACTATAATAGGCGCATAATTTTCTAAGTACAGACAGGTGTTGTTAAAAGGCCCAATTTAGGTTGATTTTTAATAAAGACACGAATTTTAGATAAAATTAATATGTAAGTCGGATTTGTCAAGTATAGGTCCAATTTCTGCCAGTAATAAACAAGATCTCCAGGCTATATAATAAAATTTGTCTAAAATTTTAATCGGGCCGTTTTTAAAAATCTGAACTTTTTAACAACACTGGTACAGACTTGACTTTTCTTATTAAAAATTCTTTTTAGAGTGCTGCATGGCCGACCTGGCCCCTAAAATATATTTTTTTGCTGATGGAATATCAAAATTCAAGAATAGATAAACAATAAAAATTTAATTTAATTCATAATAATAAAACTGGTTAATTTAGACAAGGTAGTAAAGAGAAAACATTATATTTTTTATTCATGAAAATAGCTATTAAGAAGACCTTGAATAATGAGGCATTTACTAAAACTAGTCAATTATCGGCAATAAGGATAAATGCATTATAATTTTTATTCAAAAAAAATAGCTACAACCTCAAATAAATAAAGATGTGCATTTTTACTTTCTATAGTTTTTAAATTAAATCATTTTAAAAAAAAGATGTTATAAATGTATTAATAATAACTTTTTGAGAAGCGACAGTTTTATACATATCTTCCATCCTATAAAACAAATACTTCCAAGGATTATCACTTTTTGCAGACTCCATCGCAAATGCAGAAAAATTTTGCACGTCATCAATTCCTATCCCGCTTTCTTCTTCCTCCATCTCTTCCTCATCTCCGCCCTCTATCGAGTCGCTAATTTTGTTGTTTTCTTTCGACGGGGTCATCATTAAAACTGTTATCGCATTTCCCGATCTTAAAATATTTGAATTGTCTTTTGATTCGCTTGAATTAATATGCACCCTTTGATTTTTCTTACTTTATATAGGAGGAAAAAACATTAGGATTGATAATTTATGAGTTTGTGCAGCTATTTTTTCTTTATTTCTTTAATTTTAATATCATTGAAACTTTTCCCGCTCTAATTAAAATATTTTATAATGTAAATTAATCGTTTCCTAATAATGTGTTTTTTAAATATTCGAATTGGTCAGAAATTATATTTATTTTTTTTATATAGAAATCTATTTTATTTTTATGAGAACCCATTTTTCATAATTTCAAATATTGTTTATTTTTTTATAATTATATACATCTAACTTTAAAAAAGTAATTTGTTTTCATTAATAATTAACTTTTATGATAATTTTTTTTATTATATCTGCTTAACATAATCGTTAGAAAAAATATTTGATATTTTCTGATAATATTATTAGTTTCATAATGTTTTTCAGATTATATTGTAATAAATATTTAATAATATTGCTAAATTCTAAAATAAACTTATTTTAGTAAAAAATTTAATAATTTTATACTTGTATACTTGTATATGGGTCTCAAAAAATTTGTATAATCAATTGTGTCGTAATCCACTAAATCTAGTTTCATATCTTTGACACACATCCTAGATTCGAGATTCACTAAATATATACGATCAAAGGATTTAATTTACGTAATATCAATCTTATTTAATTCTAATAAAACTTCAGGAAATAGTTTAGATTCTTGACACAACATAAATGCACCTTTCAAATAATAAGGCCTAGGGGGGTGTTTTAAAATATTTTCGATTTTTTACCATTAGAAATTGTATATTACATTAAATTACTTTAATATTTCTTTGTATTTTAATATTTCCATCAAATATAAGTGTAAACGCTTTTCAATAACAGCCAATCTCAACCATGCTCTTCCCTATTATAATAAAATTAGTAATAATATACCCTTTAATATATTCTAGTCATATGATATCAGAATAAATTTTAAGTTTATTTTGTCGATTAATTTATTCGATAAGAGTTATTTTAATATTTGGATTAAAGAAATATTTAGTCTATTATAACTCATGTCCGAATTCGTTAACTAATTTTAAAAAATTTTTTATTGATTTACTTCACAGAAATTTAAATATGAAAATAGATATAATAAAATATAGAAAAATGGTATATAACAGGTTAAAAATTGCTATGAAATACTAATTCTGAGGACATATGTTGCACTAACATCTAATTGAAAATCCCTTGTGATTATAATATAATTATATTTTGAATGTAAAAGAAGTCCTTGAAATCAAAAATTGAATAATTTATTCATAATTTTACCATTATTATGTCTAAAATTTTTATCACCAACTATGTTACTTACAATATAATGTTAAATATACATATATTATTCCAAATTTTATCATAATACATAATTGACAAACTTTGGCTTTTGAAGTTTTATAACTCATAGTTTCAACTAGTTGAACGCAAGAACCATTATAAATATTTTTGCAAATTACTTTAATGTAATCCCAAAATGATATGGTATCTCCTTCACTACCAAACCAACATTTTCTTCCTGTATAATACAATTAAAAAATATTTTTAATTACACAGTATTTCCATAAAAAATTAAGTAATTGCAAATATTTATGAAAAGATAATTAGCTAATAAAGTATGAGTTATAAATAAATATTATAAAAGCAGATTATATGTAAAATATGTTTAGAAGTATACTCAAGAGAATAACGGTTATTCTTGAAATAAAGTAAGAGAAACTTAAGCGAAATGGACGCCAGCACTTATATTTCCCTTAGAAATAAATATTTTTTCAAGTACAGTTATTTTTTATTAAAATTTTTTTTAATTTCTAATTAAAATTTATAAATCGCAATATTTTGTAAATGATAATATTAAATAATTTATAAAGCAACTTTCAATATTGCTAGTTTTTGAATATAACTATTTTTAAGGATGTGACTGTAACTAGTTACTTTTTGATAGTAACGTTAACAGCACTAATAACTCAATTAATATAAGCTTTTATAATAAGTGAACAGTAATAGTAGGGGCACGTTGGCCAATAGAAACATTTATGTCTATTATCGATATTTTTGCATTTAACATTTTTTTGCAATTTTCTATGGTACAATATTGTATATTTAAAAAAAAAGCCATAATTGATGGCATATCTAGCTTTTATATCTAAAAAAATGATTCAAATAAAAGAAAAAAAATTATGGAGGGGTGTCCAAACTTTTGTCTTTCCCAAACATCCTCTAACATGGCCCCATTAAAATTTAAAAGAAAATAAAAAGTTTATAATTATTTATCAGAAAGTGGAGAACTAAAGCCATTTGGCCAAATATTTTATAATGTTTCAATTTTATAGATTTTATATAAAAATAAGGTTTGAGTGACGCGGTCTCCTAAATAAATAGAATAACATTTGCTTATGAAATTATTTATCAATTTTTCACTTTGTCAACATTAAAAATATCGAATTTAAATAAAATATGCAATTAAATATAGAAATACTTGTACTTTTAAGTCGATGTTTTAAGATATTTTCAAGAATGGCGAAAATGTTTTTTAACTCTGAATTGTTATCTTCTATTAGCAAATTTTGATATTTGTCTGCAAATTCCATAACTGCCAGACTTGATATTTTAGAGAAAAAAAAATTGATATCAAATATTTTTCTAGGCATATTATTTATAAAGGCTATGTAAAAATTAAATTATATTCTAAAAAAATTATGCCATGGAAATTAAATTTATTAATGAAAGTAAATTAACATGAGCAAATAATGCTAATTCATAAAAATAGTACTGAATTTTTTACATAGGAAGAAATATATTAATTGAGAAAAGATTCATGTAATATGGAAACTTTCATGCAATTCACTAAAGCCTTTGAAATAGAATGATTAATTCAATTTAAGCTATTAAGTTATATTCATTATATTATAAATGTATAATAATATACATACAGTATAGTTATTTTTTGAAAAACTTTACTTTAAAATAGAGAATAGACTTTGTCTCTTGATCTTAGCCTGTTCTAAACCATGTTTTATATTGTCGAATAGCACAATGTCGACTGATGTCAAAGCTGTGGGGCTAAAGCATGAAGCGGATGTTATTGTATTCAATATTTCCATTGTCATGTCAAACAAAATTTATTCAATATTTGTAAATAATATTGCTATGCATCTCCCTTTTACTTGATAAATCCAATTCAGAAAAAAATTATTAAAACAAATGCATGTAAAAGTTATACATTATCATCACATAAAATAAATTTGTAAATATCTCACATAGCAGCGTGTAACACAAACATTATTATTTATTTTATTAAACTGGAAAATCGATTTTCCTTTTTCTTAAATAGCCTTTAAAAAACAGTTTTTATCACGACCATTAACAAATATATCAAAACAATTTATACTGTTAAAAATTATTAAAGATTGATCCCAAGTTTTTTAAATTTATTTTAACCTTTATTACTTAGCTTAAATTTTATTTTCTTCCATCGTCTTATCTCTTTTTCTTTCATTTTGCTTAAAATATCCCCTTTCTCAATCATGTCTTCATAAATAATTATATATGAATGAATAGTGAACGATTTTCCATTTTAAAGAAATAGTAGTGAATCTTAAGGGGTAGGGAAAAATTTTTTGGGGAGGGAGATTTACGGTTGTTGTATTTTTTTTCGAAGATAATTGGTTTAAGAGTAAATCAGTATAAAATGGAACATGAAGAGTAAAGACGATAATATAGAGATAAGCACGGGAGAATGGGCACTGGAATTAATAGGTTATTATTTACTAAAAAAATTATATGAATCGATGATTTTATCAACTGTCTGATGTGGATCAGAGACGTGGGCATTGAATAAAGTTTAGCTACAATAGAAGTGAGTATGCTAAAGTGGATAGCGGGTGTGCCGCATAAATTATCTCTGGAATAGTAGGAACTTGATGGGCCTGATTGAAAGTCCTAATAAGGACAAGAATGTGTCTATGAGTATAATATCCATCAAAATAAAATATTATCAAAGTTTTATTAGATATAAGTTTTATTTATTTATAAACGCGTCAGTGTATTGGGAAGTAGGCTAAATCCCCCCTCCCCCACGTTTTTTTTATTAGCCCTTTTTCTAAATTTTGAGAAAAAATTTAATATTTTTTCAAAAGTGTTGAATCTGAATCAGTGTTGTTAAAATAGCGCGCTACTTTTTTCAGTAGCGGTAGCTTTAACTGGCTACTTTTTTTAGAAAATAGCGATAGCGGTAGCTCGCTACTAATTTAGAAAGTAGCGAAATAGCTTAAATAATAAATACATCTAAAAATTATTAAAAAATTTTTTTTATTAAATCTAAAATTATAATCCTTTTATTTTATTTAATTTTGAAATTTATATTTAAAAATATACATTATAAATCTAGTTATTAAAAATGTGTGAGATTGTTGAAGATAGTAAAATTTCTTTGGAAAATTAGAAAAATATAGATTATCCTTTCCCAAAATTCAAAAAATACTTTAATCTTGAATAAAAAATTACTACTGGATATCGGTTTCGATGCAAGAAATTTTGCCAACCACTGGTAGAGTCTATACTAAAAGGCATTGAGAAAAGGTCAAAACATTATTTTTATTTTCTATTATACAATTATATAAAATGAATGATTTATTGCTTGATTAGCCAATTTAAATTGGCTTAATTTACAACACAATTATAAAATTCAAAATTAATATATTATTAATTACCTTGTGTATAATAATTATATTTTTAAAATCTTTATTTACCATAATTTAATGCTATTTTAATATTTTTTTATAAATGAATCTAAATCTCAGATAAATTTAAATTTTGAAAATTAAAAAGGTATTCTTCTTATTTTATAATTAATACAATCGCTTTATATAAGTTAGATTTCCAGATCTGTATGATGATGATAACGTAATAGCTGCTATCGTTCATCCTAGTTTCTAGTTAAATTGGCCATACATTAATTTGACTGAATCTAAAGGGCAACTTGATAGGCTGATGGTAACGTTAAAAAATGCTGCCTAACCACGATACTAATACTATAGCAAGATCGAAACCGCGGCCTTCCATAGACGATTTTTTTAAAATAAATAATAATATTATTGAACCTCTAAATGCTTTTTTTAAATCTAAAAATACTCATAAAAATATCTTTGATGATTTTTTTCATATAAAAAGTGTGTTTATTAAATTCCTCAAGTGCTACTGCTGAACGATTATTTAGTATGGCAAAGCTTATACTTTCTGATCGTCGAGTACAAAATGTTATTATTATTAAAGTGCAATATTAAATAAATTATATATACTAGTAGAAAGCCCGTCAAAAATGACGGGAAATGAGATTTTTATTCATTTTTTACGATAGATGTCATGCCAGGTTCAATCTCACAATATTAGGAAGCATCCAAGATCTCACAGCTCAACCCTTAATAATTTGTAAAAGATATTCACAAGTCAGGTGCAAGCTAATATTAATTTTGAGGTTCCAAGCCCAGTCCTACCCATTATAATTTTGAAAAATTTTTCCCGCCTCAGATATAGTTAAATTTTTAATATCATCACATGAACGGAAAATATCTGATTTACCAATTAGTCTAATATGGAAAAAAAACTGTAAATTCCGTATTAAAGGAAACTAGGGAGGCCTGGGCAACCACTTATTAGAGAATCATGACAAATAAAATAAAAATAACCGACTCTTATACTTTTTGTAATATGATCATTTAAAGTATATCTAAAAAATAAATTCTTGTTTATTATATAGGGTTATTGTTTTTCAGCTAAATTTAATGTATGTCTTGCATTTTCGAAATTATTTGTCAAAGAATTTGATAAGGGATATATATATTTTTATGTTAAGTTATAAAAAAAATGCTATCTATTTAAATTACAAAAATGCTATTAAACACTAATGAAACTTATTAGCAAATTATTTATATATTTTTTAAGATATTTTTTTTATTGACATATAAATTTAGGATAATTTTTTTAAAAAATAATGAGGATTAATTTATATGTATTTGATAAAATTAAGAGCAAATCCTTGTTGACATTTTTATTTTTGATGGAAAAAGCGACAAAGTTGAACTGTTGTTAATCCTATGAAAATATTAAATTTGCTATCAAACATATATTTAATTTACCATTTTCATCCATATTATATATATCACCTGGGAGAAAGTTATTTTCCCTTAAAACAGTCAAATAATTATTAAAAAATAATTCAACCATTTTCATATTGAAATTAGGGGTCCTGGCTATACTTGTAGCCTCTGGTGTTCTCAAAGATATTGTTGGATTTCTTTTAATAAATGTTCCAAACCAGTCTTCACCAGCTGATTGAGTAATTTCCCAAGATATTGGTACTTTTAAACTACACTTAGCCATTTGATATGCTAAAACTCTAACCTATATTTAAACATTAGATATTAAATTATTTATATATCAAGGCAATCTCATTAAAATCCTAATTCTTAAATTTTATTCTGAATTTATTTTAGAATTAATATATACAATCTTCTGCTAAAATCATTTAAAATATATCATGCATAATTAAATCTTTAATGTATAGGTAAGAACCTAATTATGTTTTAATGCATGATATAATTTAATGCTTAATCAATGAATATAAATCATTTTATAATTAATATATATACATGGCAGAATCTTCTCCGTTTATGGCGATTTCCAGGTTTACCCAAGTAGGCCAGTTATCCCTCTGATTTTTCTTTTCCATTTTTGACGGTCCTGATCATCAATACTTGTAAGATTCATGCTTCTCATATCTGCCGCTATCACATTTGTCCACGTCATCTTGGGTCTTCCTCTAGGTCTTGATCCTCCTACTTCCATCATTGTGCATCTCTTTACCCAGTCATCTCTTGTCATACGTTCCACATGCCCAAACCATCTTAGTCTATTTCGTCGCATTACCATACCAATCATTTCTATACCTAATCTTGCTCGCAATTCCTTGCTGGTTTTTCTCTCTCTCAGAGATACCCCACACATCCATCTAACCATCCTCATCTCTGTTCTTTCTAATTTGGCCTCGTGAGTCGCTTTCATTGCCCATGTTTCACCGCCATAAACTAAACAACTCCTCACACAGCTTACGTAAACTTTCCCCTTTAACTTCAGAGAAACTTTTTTATTTGTAAGAATAAACGACATCTCTCTAAACTTCTTCCATGCTTGTCTGATCCTTGCAACAACGGCATAATCTACACCACCATCTGCGTTTAGCATATCACCTAAATAACAAAACTTATCCACTTTTTCTAGGGTTAGCCCATTGCCAATATCCAGACCACCATTTTTTAGGTTATCATTATTATGTATCCCTTTCATGCATGTTCTACAAATAATGGTCATTCTTTCTTACATCAAACTGCCTTTTTTCCCGCTACATCTTTTATGTACCCATTTCTGGCATCTGGTGCATTGGATAGAATTTCTAGCAACTCCTTTCCCACATACACCACAAGGCCACTTACAGGATTCCTCCATCTTTAGTTTTTCCCCATTAATCATCATCTTTGTATTTGATGCATTCATTTTCAGGCCCTTTGCTTCCATAGTCATCTTCCATTTACCAACTTTATCCCTCAATTCTCCATCACTGTTTGCCATTAATACAAGGTCATCTGCATATAATATCACCCAGGGAAGTCCTTCACGCATTTCTCTAGCCACCACATCCATTACTAAGATAAATAATAATGGACTCAGCACGGGTCCTTGATGAAGTCCTACCTTCACCTCAAAGCTGTCACTATCACCATAATCCGTCCATACTGCTGTTTGTTCTCCAACATACATCGCCATCACTGCGGTAACAAACCATTCTTCCACACCTGATTTTCTCAAGGCCCATCTAGTAATCTCACGCGGCACCTTATCAAATGCTTTCTCCAAATCAATAAACACATAATAGAGTTTCTTTTCCTTCGCGAGATACTTCTCCTGAATTTGTATCACCATAAAAATTGCATCTGTCGTGCCTTTTCCCGATGTAAAACCAAACTGCATTTCATCAATTTTAATTTGTTCTTTTAACCGCTTCTCTAACACTCTCGCAAATACTTTCGTTGCATGTTCCAAGAGTTTAATAGCTCTGTAAGACCCACAATCTAAAGGATCACCTTTCCCCTTGTATACTGGGATAATTATACTTCTTCGCCAGTCCTCGGGAATAGTACCTTCTGTGACAATTTGATTGGCTAAATTCATTACCATTCAATCCCTAAATCATCAGAACCTTTAAACATCTCTGATAACACCATCGTTAAACCCGATGCCTTCCCTTTCTTCATCTTTTTCACTGCTCTCGTTATCTCGTACTTGCCAAATTTACACCCTGGACCTTCTACCTTTGCACAACTAATATTATTATCCCATTCATTTTCTTCATTCAAAAGTCCTTTCATGTAAATCTTCCAGGTGTTCTTAATACCACTACCATCAATCGCCATTTTTCCTTCCATATTTTTCAAACACTTTACACCTATCACATCCTGCCTATTTTTTGACATCTGTTTTGCTATTCGAACCATATTTCCAATTCCATCAGCGCATTCCATTTCTTTGGCAAACTCATGTCATTTTTCTTCTTGAGCCTACGCTATTAATTTTTTAGCATTTTTTTTTAGCCATCTTGTAAATATCATTATCACTCTATTATACCATACTTTGAAACACCTCCGTTTCTCATCCACGGCTTTCGCTACCTCCGGGTTCCACCACCAAGTCTCCTTATGTCTAGGCGGCCCTTTTGTCCATCAACATACCTCCTCAGTTGTCATTACCCAGGCTTTCTTCATGGCTTCCCACTTATCATTCACCCCAGATGCTTGTGCCACTTCCGCCTCCCTTATCGCCATTGTCATATTGAATTGACCTCTAGCACTCTCCTTCAATTTCCAAACCTTCAGCCTTCGGACAAACTTTCTTTTAGTGACCCTGGTACCTTTAAGAGTGAGATCTCTTACAACTAGTCGATGCTATTTATACATTCCTCTCCCAGTATCACTTTCACATTTTTTACGATACATCGATCACATCTCCTTTATAACAAGTAATCCACTGCACATTTGGTACTAAAGTCACCAGCATCTCTGATTCTTTCTTAAACATTGTATTACAGACAATCATATCCATAGCATCACTAAAATCTAAAATCCTCTCTCCTTCCAAATTTCTCATGCCGTTACTGAACCCTCCATGTATTCCTTCATAACCCTCACTACTCGCTCCCACATGTCCATTCAGATCACCAGCCAGAATAATCCCCTCTTCATTTGCCAGTCTCGATGTCACCCCCAATAGACTGTCCCAAAATATATCTTTCACTTCTTCCAACCTGAGGAACATATGCCGAGATAATATTATATAGCTTTCTACCAAAAATCATCTTGATAACCATTATCTGGTTGTCTAGCCTTCTCACTTCGACTACTTTGTCTACCAATTTCTCCGCAACCAATACCCCAACTCCAGCCTTACCATCATTACCTCCTTGCCAAAAGAATTTATACTTTTCGCTAGTCTTGTCAATCATTCTGGTCCCATTTCCTTTCCATCTAGTCTCTTGTATTCAGCACACATCTATATGCCTTCTGTGCAATACATCGACGACTTCTCCCGCTCTTCCCGTCATACTCCCAACATTCCATCGCGACTCTAACTCGATCACCCGTAAACTGGTTTCTCCACTTTTTATCAGGTCGTTTATGGCCGTCATAAGTTTCATTTTCATGAATAGTGGTTCCACCAGGTTTCCCATCCTTCTTTTTGTCGTAGGCGGATGAGGAGGCCCACGGGGTACTTTGGGCTGTACCCCGCCCATGCTTTGTTGTAACCATAGGGAAATTTTGTAGCAAGGTTTTTACAATCGGATGCCCTTCCTGACATCAACCTCTTTAAGTGGTTTTTACACCCCGTCGAGGAGACTGTGATTCTATTCTAGACCCAGATCACAGGGAACCTTTTAGACCTCCATTAGCCGCCAAAAGACGTTGCCACTCCTCCGCCACGATGAGGCTGAAGGTAGGATTTTGGGAGAAAACATATTTCATTTAAATATATATCACACACACATAATTACATATCATTCTAATGCTTATATTAAATTCTTACTTAAACTATTTTAATATTAATAAAGATGTTTCATTAACATATAATGAATTTAATAATTAAAAAATTTATATTAATTTGTTCTCAGGTTTATTGTTTTAACAAAATTCATTTTAAAGAGAATTTGTATGATATAAAATTAAGAATTAAAATACTTGTTTAGGGCATAATCCTGAGAATAATCTTGATCCTTTAATTAAATAATCTGTTAATTTAGCTTCTTGAATATGAGAAAATACTGATCTGTGAACATATCGCTCTTGAAAATCTTCATTCCTTTTGAACAATTTATGATACCTCTTAATACTTAGTTTAGTTTCTTAAATATATTAATTTAATAAAAAATTTAAGTTATAGGATCATCTGTTTGTATAAAATAAATAAATAAAATCAACAAATAATAAATAAATAAATACGTACCGATGACATGACGTCACGGTGACGTAGTGAGGACATCGGAAAATTATAATATAGATATATATATATGTAACAAATTATAGTCATGTTTTTATACCAATATTTTATTTGTGAAAATAAAGTTATGTAAAAAATATTTTTAAAAAAAATCAAAATAGCGTAAAAAGTAGGTAATAGCGCGCTACTCATTTGAAAGCAGTAGCGTTTAACAACACTGATCTGAATCCCTTTTCTTCGTATTATTGTAATAAAAATTAAAATTTTTATCTGGTCAAAAATCTTTTTCATATTTTTTTTATAGCTACAGAGAATTGAGAAATAGATTTATTTTTCAATTATTTATATTTTTATAAGTCGCAGCCTCTTCTGCTTTATTTAAAATATAGAATGTGGTTCACCACCAACCGTAAATAGCTCAATTAACAGATTTAAAGCCAACTCTAAAAAGGCTAAACCGAATTTTTAAGCGAAAACAATCATCTTAACCTCCATCGAGGTTTAAACTTAAAGAATAGCTCAATCAAAAATATACTCTTGTCTTAAGGCTTAGCGAGTTTTTCGATTGTTATGATTTGGCCAATATAACAACACTACAGGCACGAAATAGATCAATTTTAACAAAATCTTTTAAATGTTTAAATAAGAATTTAAAATTTTCAATAGGTAGGTTATTGTTAAAATAAATCAATTTACTATAAAAGAATTAATAAATTGAGAAATTTTTTTATCAGGTTCTTAAGTGTTCTTTTGCCAATTAACCATTCTTTTATTGATTAATATATAAAAAAATGAATCATTTAGAACATGTAATATGTAGGCAGCGACTACATAACAGAAAATTTATTGTAGGCAAATCCCCTCCAAAATCTACTTTACGTCCTAAATATTTTAGCCGCTGTAAGCCGCGATATTTACCCACCCATTGTGCTCTAATAATCCGATGATATTAATTTTTAAAAATTTTATGATGAGCCACCATTTATAACGTCAAAATAATTCTAATTAAACTCTTTGTCCTCATATTTAGGCATGAGTAACAAATAATCAAAGTTATATGTGAATAAATAAAATATTTATAAATTAAAATTTTTTATCATTTATATTTATCTTTAATCTACAAAGAGTGTCTATTTATACTTTATCCTACCGCCCCTTTTGAGTGTAAACCCCTTGCCCCCTTCAAAAAAATTGGTGACAAACTTATCCCCCTCCCCTCTCATGTAGACATTGTATAAATGCAAATATTTACAGATGTCGCTCGATTCAGAAATTTCACTTATCTATAAATATACCATTTATAAACAAAACTATAAGATTAAAAATATACCAGTTAATAATTCTCCAGAAAGCATCATTCAGTCCCGTATAATAGATTAAAATACCTAAATCCTTTTTTTTAAATTATTTAAGAAATTCTTTCCAATATATCCTATATTCAAAAAGAAACGGCCTAAGAACCTAGATATGCGATTTGGCCAAAAGCAAATAAAACGAATCTGCCAAATATTATAAATAAATATGATGGGCTTCGACGATATATCGGTAAAGATATTGGTAATTATTAAAATTTTATTAACTGTGTAGGTGCATTATCCTATAGCCTAGTGTAATTTAAGCTTTCAACTTATGATTTTGATCATGGAAGATAAACGAACGAGTTTAAGACTAAATAATTTGTCAAGTTTAATGTTGTAAAATATTATAAAAGATAAAAATTATGTATAATATACTATAAGATCAAAAAACAACAGAAATTTTTTGTAATTTATAATAAAAACGAGATGTTCATATATTATGAAAATCCTTGAAATATTTAATATGAA